ATATATATATATATAGAGAGAGAGAGAGAGAGAGAGAGAGAGAGAGAGAGAGAGAGAGAGAGAGAATTATGACTTACCAACAAGTTTGATATCTGTGATCTCAACCAACAATTTGGCGATGAAGCGAGTCGAAGAAGAGGCCGGAAGGACAAAAGATGTTCGGCGATGACGCGGCGAAGGAGGCGATCGCGATCACCGCGATGCTCAGTAGCAGGATGCGCATGTTAGTCATTGCTCTGACTGGCGCAGGAATGTTGTTTGTGGGTGGTGAGAAGTGTCTTACGCCTCGTTGAGTTTAATAATGATTCAAATTTTTAATTTGAACTAAGATGTAATTTTATGTGAGAGTTTTTAATTTTTTTTAATGTGATTTTTTTAAGAATTTTTAACTGTAGCAAAATGAGAATTGAAAATTAGAATCGGTGAAATGAACGACGAATTAGATTAACTCATATCTTAGATTTGAGATTGATTTGCTTCGTTGATAATGTTGAGGACTACTGGCTGATAGTAATTTCGACTCGATGGTCTACTAGTCACAACTCGCAAGTGACAACCACTGTCGTTTATAGAATTATTGATGTATTAATTGTTAATTGGATTTAAAGGGTAATTTGTATAATTTATGTTTCAAAAGTAGGAATTATGTTGACATATAAGGTACAAGATGATAAAAACTATTTTATTTTATTAGGAAAAGAACTATAATTTTTTTTAACAATATTGAAACACAACACAATATGAATTCAGCACTAGAGAATAGAAAGCAAGTTCCACACTATTGGATGTAAAAATTGGTCACACTTTTTTTTATTAATTATGGTGCTAAAAATAAGTGGTATTTTTAAACATTTTTTATAAAATTTTTGGACCATAGTTTTTAGGTTGATACAAATCATTTTTTAATTCAAATTTTAGAGTAAAAGATCTGAATTCTACATCTTGTGATGGAGTTAGATGTGCAATTACTGTTAAGGAACCACGTATCGGTGCGAATCTTGTACTTACTACTTTGTGTAGCATTAGATAACTACTTTCATAGTTCGTTAAAAATTATTATTTTATAAGGCTCAATAAAAAAGTATGGAATCTCATAAATAATCTTCAAACTTTATCAACAATCTCACCCGAATCTCTAACTTTTAAACATCTCAAACTCATCGATGAGGGAATATTTGTTTAGAATAAAAATTAGGGAAAACAAATTTAGTGTCATTTGCAGTATCTTACCATTTATGGTTATACCTTTTTTAGGCTTCGTTCAGTTCGCCTATTCAAGTTTTCAATTCGGTTAAGATGTGATTTTATGTTAAAGCAAAATTTTAACTGTATCATAAAAGTTAAATGTGACTGTTTTTGAGAGTTTTTAAGTGTAATAAAATTAGAATTAAAAACTCAAATCGGTGAAATGAATGCGACCTTAATGAATTGAAGACGGAGTTTTTATTTAATTAAAATAAACATAATAATAATAATTTTGAAAGATAATAAACTATACATATACTAAAGGAAAGGAAGGGTTTCACTGTTCATGCTACAATGCTATGAACAGTGTCTTTTCCGTTCTGTCCTTCTGAATGTGCAATTACTATATTGCCCTTTCTTTCATCTTCATTTGTTTTGGTTTATTTTTCAGTTGTTTCACTTTAGTTGACTTTTCTAATTCTCTCTGTTTTGGTCTTCTGTCTTCTACAAGCTTCTACGTCTTTCTTTTTTCTCTTTTCTTTTGGAGCAAAATTTCTCGCTTGCACCGTTTCTTCTCGATTTGTTTCGACAAATATTCTTCTTTTTTCTACCATTTCTTTTCTTTTGATCCTGTGATTTGGGTTTTGTTGTTTTCCTCATTTTTGCACTAAGATGGTTTTTAAATTTTTTTTCCTCAGATAGTTTTTTGTTTCTTCATTTTTTTTTTGCTCGATCTGTTTGGACATTTTTTTTTTCCTTCTACTGTTTCTTCTCTTCTCATCTTTTTGGGTATTTTAGGTTCTCTTGATTTCTTCATTTGTGTACTAATATGGTTTGTTATTATTTTTAGATATATTTTGGCAAAATTTTCCTTTTTTTCTTTTCTTCTCATCTTTTTGGGTCTTTTAGGTTTTATTGTTTTCATCTTTTCTGCACTAAAATGGCTTTTAAAATTTTTTTTCGTGATATAGTTTTTCATTTCTTCATTTTTTTTCGATCTATTTGGACATAAAATTTTTTTATTCTATCGTTTGTTCTCTTTTGATCTTTTTAGGTTTTTTGGGTTTTCTTGATTTCGTCATTTGTGTACTATTATGGTTTGTAATATATATATATATATATAAATTTTTGTATTTACTTGATTTTTTTCCCATCTTTTTCATGCTGAGGCATTTGCAAATGTTTTTCTTCCCATGTCTTTTTTTCAATCCATTTCAAAATTTTAGCAATATCTATTTTTCTTAATTTTTTTTGGTCTTTTGTCTTTTTTCATTGTGGCAGGTTATCTTAATTAGTTGTTATTCTTTTTGATTTTTGTAAGACTTTTACTATCTAATCGTGTTAATTTTGTGGTTTGACACGTGTTTTTTCTCATTAAGTAGCTTTGTGTAATGGAGATTTGATATGTTACTGTCCGTTGCTTATTGGCTCCGTTTTGCGGTGGTTTTGCTTCTTGCGGACAGCTGCCATTGAGTAATCATGTTTTTAATATATCTATTTTTGCAGAAATTTTTATCAGAGATTGAGCGAAAATGTGATGTCGTTGTCCATATATAATATGCAAAATTTTGTTGCTATAATTTCTTACTTTCTTTTGCATATTCAGTTCATGTCTTTTCCTTCCTCGATTTTGAATATAGCGTTGTTTAATCGGATTTTCTTCTATTCGGAATATTAGTTTTTCTACTACATGTATCCTATTCACTGTGTTTCCTCGATCGAGGTATTGAGTTTTATTTTCTTATATATATTTTGTAGTTGTTATAAAGTACTTATTTATGATGTTTTCCTAATTCATTATCTAAATTTGGTAATTATTTGATTTATTTGTTTATTTCAATATGTATTGATGCTATGCTATTATTTGTTTATTCTATTTTTTGTTTTGTTTTGTTGTTTAGTGTTTCAGTTACCTAAAATATTGTTATTTCTGTAGAAGTTAGGTTCATACTTTACTTTCTTTCTTGTTTTGGCAACATTTTTTTTCTTTTTTCAAAGTTTTTTTTTTTTTGGTGATGATGTTGTTATTTTTCTTTTGTTGTCAACATATGTTGGGTGATTGTTATTACAGACTTGACTGTTATTGATGTTGTCCTTATTATTTTGGAATTATGTCAATATATTTTAATATGTTTTTCATTTTAATTTTATTGTTATTTCGTAAGTCAGGGTTTTTTGATTTCTTTGTGCCATTTTGTGGTGCTTATTTTTCAAAATTTTGTCTGATTTTCACTTTTAAGCACTTCAATTTTTATAAACTGTCATTCTATCGTACTGTGCTTAGTTTTTTACTTCGTTTTTTCTTCTTAAATATGTTGTTTTTGTCGTTCCAGTGTATATTGTTATTCTAAACTATAATAATTTTCCTCATTTATAGTATAAACTCCTTAATAATATAGCTGGCAGCTATGTACATTGTTAGGTCCTGTTTCAGTTACCTATGATATATGTTGTTGACAATAAAAGATTATTACCTGAACTAAATATTTTATATACTATTTTCTATTTTTTTTAATTCTTTTTCAATTTCCTTATGTTTTCTACTTATTGATAGTGTAATATGAAGGCTTTTTTTTTTTTTTTTTTTTTTTTTTTTTTAAGATTTTTTTTTTTTTTTTGTTTATAGAGATTTAATCTATGTATGTGCACCGTTTAAAAATAAAGTAATATAAATATTTCTAAAATCTTTCTTTTACACTATATAAATTAAATAATTTTGACCTATTTAACATTTATATTTACTAACATTTTGTTTTACCTTTATATCTTGTAGTTGAAAAAAACAAGATGAGAGCGTAAGACAACAACAATGTATTTTACTTTCTATATATATATGAATGTAAATATATTTTAAATAACAATACTATATATATATGTGTGTGTGTAAATATGTTTATAAAAATTTCAAATCTTCCATGTGATACAACACTGTACAGGCTCGTGAATATCTAAAGAGAACATTTTAGATCAAACAATCACGTTAAAGTCTTTGTTCAGAAAAGAAAAAAAATCAGGGAAAATTTCTTAATACGTTCTTTTTCATAGGCGTGCATGTAATTATTCTACAACAGAACAAATTGAGCTCCATAATTTCTTAATGTAAAATCTTTTCGCTTTTTTGAAACGGCCTCCGTTTTTGGTTCAAGTACTTGTGATTGATACATAATTAACCCAAACAAATCTATTATGAATGTTGATATTCACCTATCTAAAATGTTTCAAAAAATTTGACAAACCACAACAAAACACAAAAAACAACAAAAGTAAAGTGACAAGCAAAAAAATAACTAAATAACCAACAAAAGTAAACATGAAACCACAACTAGAAAGAGGTCTGTATAAACCAGACCCATAAACATCATTGATTATAGTTTGAGATCTAAGTAGATATATACATTCATTTATTATAAAAACACCAAAAATACACAGTAGATGAAACGAAAAAGGAGGAAAAAAAAAAAAAACCAAAATCCTACTCTACAGCGAGAAAGCTTACCTTGGTTTGAGACGGAGACAAAAAGAGACGAAGAGAGAGTCGAGTCTAGGGTAGGCTAAGGAACAAGTCTAAAGCAACCCAAATAAAGGAAGAAAAATCTAAAGCAAATGTCTTGTAACTGCCCGTGATCGCTCTGATGTTGAAAATAACTATAAACATAAATATAAATGCAACCATATGGAGTCCAAAATTCTTGTGTGTTTCTTCAATACATCTATTTCTCGATCCATACATGCCTAAAATTCTTTTAACATCCCATTCCATGCTACAAATGAACGTGTCATCATAACATAAATCGATAAGCCAGCATCAAACCCAAATAGATGCAAGAAAAATGTAAAGTGATGATAAGATGATCGTGTCATCACGATGTAGTACTGAAATCAAGTTTGGAGTCCAATAGTAAAAGTTCTTTACTTAGAAACAAAAACTTACTGGGTAAAGAAGATCACTTTATGAGAATGCATCTTATTGGAGATCCTTCAGCACCCAGCAATCTTAGAGGCAGGCAATGGATAGAATATATTCCTGGTTGAACGTCATCGAGTTTTAGCCCTTCCACAAGAATGATTTTCTGAAGAATATAAGCAGCGTTAGTGGTGAGTGTCACTGCCTTTATGCTTGACTCAATACCAACTTTAGAAGGACTTGGTCGCTTAAAGGAAACCAACATATCGATACATAAATAGTATAACTAAACACTTTTCAGTATTATGTTTCCATTCCAAGAAAAAACTTGATATCTTTCGACTTTCCCCCTATTTCTGCTTACAAATAAAATCTACTAGGATAATCACATTGGCTCCGTGTGTTACGCTGCCAATTGTCCCATTAGGGCCCTCTTCCAACTAACTTTCCAGTAATACAGTTTAACCTCATTCAACTGGCGTAGCCAAACCTAGCACTAAACCATGTGTCTGAATTTCTGTGCGCTATGAAACTGACATAATGTTAAATATATTTCGCGGCCAAATAGAAACATTTAACTAAAATCAGGGCCCAGAAGAGAATATTCAGATACTTAATAACATAGTTCTCATTTACACTATAAATTAACACAACAGAGTTGCAAGTAATCAATGTTGATGAAGCTCAAACAAGAGTCAGTTGTAGGGTAGGACCAAAAGTCAAGTATCACCTAACAGTTACGGCTCAAAGATCTGAAGCAATCATGAATCCACGATTAATAGAAAACTTCAATTCAAAATTAAACATAAAAGAATCCCATGACATGGAAGTTTGCCTTACTCTGTTTTCTAGAAAAACAAGATGAGAAGGAATCAAGTCATTGAAGGCAGCAACAGATAAGTAATCAATTCCTGCATTTTCACGACAAAATTTGTCACTTTCAAATTGGTCTAGAACTCCATATCAAATAGGATGGATTATGGAAAACATATTTTTTTTCTTTTATTTTTAACTTTCATTTACACTGAGCCCCTTAATTGTGGTTTAAATAGTAAAGAGGAAAGAAAACAGCATCGAAATGGGTGGTACCCTTTTTTTATAGATCAATGTCTTGAAGATGTATCACATGTTAAACATGAACATGCAAGGTTCTTTCATTTAGTTGCCTCTAAAGTCTAAACAAATCACACATTTATATCTAGACATTCTGCTGGTTCCAATACAAAGCACACACAAGACTGATACATTAAATACGAGTCTCATTGCTGGGTGACAACAACAAAAAAATAAAAATAATAAAAAAAAGAGACGATATCATACCAACAAGTTTGATATCTGTATTCTCCACCAACCATTTTGCTCCATCCTTCATAAATCCCACGTAGCTTGTGTCAAACTCCTTTTTAAACATAAGTCGTCTGAAATAGCAATAAGTCTTTTGAGTCATATCAGAAGAACATTTGTCTTTCTTTTACCTCTAGCATTGATTCTCCAGTAAACAAACTATTCTTTTGCTCATGAATTCCATAACAATTTTGTTAGATAAAAGAGTTAACAATCAAGGCACAATGCCTAATGATAGAGGTTCGTCCAAAAGCTTATGTATTTTGATAAGTCAACTTTTTAACTGCCTCCATCTCTATGACATTACCATCACCACTGTCATTCATTACATTGCAATTTAAATAGCAAAACAAAAATGAGGATATAATTTCTATCAACCTTTTTTCTGGGTCACTACAACTTAACTACAATAGTCATCTATACTGAGTTCCAGTGATTGTAAATGGTATGGAAAATTTAAAAACAAAACCTTACCTGTCAGTATTTAACGTTCTAAAGAGCACACGGCGAACCCCCTTGGGAATATTTAAGGACTTCATAACTTCAGCTGTATGAAGCATATTAAATTAGAACCAATAAAACAAAAGCCGAAGGACATTTGGATAATCGTTATTTATCAGTTCCCAAATATAGAGTAAAGGTTTAACTGCAGTTGTTACAGAGCTATAAACCTAGACACATCAATATAAGAGCTCAATAAAAGAAAAAAAAAATGCTTTGCTACGAAGAGATTAGTTTAATCGGATATACGCACCAGTTATATTGTTGTCTCTTGGAACATCAACCAACAACCCAGGACCTATTGGAACAAACCAACATGATCATCCAAATATAGTAAACAACACCAATTAAGAAAAGTAATAATCTTTCAAGTGATAAGAATACATTTCGAAAATGAAATGGAGGAGGGAAATACAAATAATAGAAAACTGAGAGTTTAATGAATTAAAACATAAAATTACCAGAATTTCTTCAAGAATTAACTGCCTAATGAACAGCTCTTTAACTAATTATTGGTTAATAGAAAAGAAAAAAAAAACAATTTTCTCTCCACTTTCACCTAAATTCTGTACTCAAGTTATCAGCTTTGCATCAGCAGAAAATCAAAAACGCTATCGAAAATCGAATTGAAAAATCAACAGAGAAAAAAACACAAAATCCTCAAAGAATTACCATTAAGAACTTCCAAATCAAGCGTGTCGACGTCGAATCCAGCATCGAAGTAGTGATCGAAGACGTGTCCTGGAGCGTCGACGTGCGTGCCTGTATGAGCGGGGAGCTTCATCTCGGAGTTGTTGGCGAGCGAGCCGTTCTTCATGCTCTTCGGGAGCGAGAGGAAGTCGCCGATTCCGTCATCGGACTCCCACGACGGCATGTCCGGGGTGTACCTGTGGCTGATATCGAAGATTCGGCCGTCGCCGTACACCTCCCGCCGGATAGGGGTCAGAGCGCTATCCTCTCCACCAGCCAGCGAGCAGTCGGCGGCGGAAGTGCCGGGGACGGTGGGATATGCGGCGGTGGCGTGGGAGGGAGTGGGGGTAGTGAGCATCCAGGCGCATAATAGCAGGAGAAGTAAGGGTTCCATGGTCACAGTGATGGCGAGGACTGAGGAGACGATTGGAAATGGCGTTACTTGATTTGTTTGGGCATATATATATACATGTATATATATGTGTGTGTATATATATGTATGTATATATGTTGTAAAAGGATATTTTCAGTTCAGACTCGATTTACATTTTATTTTAGAGAAATTTTATGCCGCTTATTTTATTAATTTAAATTTAGAATTCAAATTTTAGTACAGTAAAAAATTTTTATAAACAATTATATCTAACTTTTTTATTACACAAAAATTTTCATATAAAATTACATCTCAATTCAAATTAAAAATTTGAATCAGCGAACTAAACGGACCAATAAACTTCAACATATTAAAAATTAAAATAATTTTTTTAAAAAATTAAAATTAAAATTATTTCTTAAAAAAATTAAGGCCATGTTTGGAATTGATTCTGTTTTTATTTTTTACGTTTTTCAAGAAAGAAAAAATGAAAACGTTCTCAAAACGGCGTTTGGCATAATAAAAAAACAGAAATGAAAACGATTTTTTGGTTTAGTATAAAATAAGAGAAAAATGAAAAACGACTTTTAATCATTTTTTATTTTTTGTTTGCATTTTCTCCTCTCTAGAGCAGAGAGAGAAAGAAATATATTAATGGATTTTTTACACTGAAACAGTCTCTTGATAAAATTACCAAACGCATTTTCAAAAATGATTTCTATTTAAGATTGAAAACGTTTTCATTTTCATACTAAAAATAAAATTATTTTGAAACGAATTCTAAACGCGTCCTAAAATTTTACATAATTCTGTAAATATCTTTTACACTTTATAATTTTTTACACGTAAAACATTGTTTTTTAAGAAGATTTATTTTCTTATTTTTTGGCTAAATTTTCTATTTGAACGTATGCAACAAAAAAAACTTTCCATTTGAATCATTTATTGCTAATTTGAATGACTGGAACCATATTGTTAATGGGCAATTTCTCCTTTAATTAAAGTACGAACTTAGAACAAAAATCGTCGAGTCTTTTCAATTTTTAAAGAATATTATACAACCATCTACCCTAATTTTTTTTTTCCCAAACTCCACTAAAAATTTTCTGTTCACCAAGCAATGGAGCAAAATGAGAAAGTTTTATCAAGTTTTAATGTATGTATATTTTCTGTTTTTATTCTTCCTCTATTTTTTGTTTGTTTTCTTTTTTTTTTTTACTGAAAGAAAGTTTGATTTTAGAGATGCCAATATTGTCAACCAGCTAAAATGCGATGTAAATTGATCTTTATAGATTGAGCTTCTAAAAGAAATTTAGAAGGGAAAATTTTATTCTTCTTTTTCCCTCCCTTTTATTTTCTATTCTTTTTTTAGAAGGTATGATTTTACTATTTTATTATACTAATGTGTTCAATATACATGTTTTTTTCTTTCTCGTTTGCGTTTTTTTTATTGAAGTTGTTTTTAGAGTTGGTTTTGATTTTTGGTTCAAAGATGAACCCATTGAGAATTTTTGCCCAAATCCTGAATAATGGAATATACGTATCAAGGAATTTGAAAAAAAAAAAAGTAATTTTGAGGTTGTTCAAATTAAAATAGCAGAAAGGAAAGGAAAGAAAAAGGTTGTTCAAACCCAACAAAAGAAAGAATTATTTGAATAGAAATAATCAAATCTCACCTATAAATAAAGGAAAAGTAAATCTTTCAAATAAGCCATATCTTAGAATGTGATAAAGAAAAGTATGGGGTGTACATAAGCGTACTTATGAAATTATATGAAGTATTAATTTTTTTTAAAAATAATTTTAATTTTTAAATATGTTAGCGTGCCTTAATAAAATTTCCTATTTATTTATTATCTCTTCCTGTTTGGGATTTTTGTTTTATTCCCTTTATTCCCTCAACTTTTTTCATAGTGGATAATTTGATCCATCAAATTTTTCTTTTTAAGAAAAAGCTCCTCAATATATTTAGATTTTATGAATCAATTTTGTATACTTAGAGAAAATTCAAAAATTTTATTCATTGCAGTATAAAATAGAAGAACATGTCAAAAACATTGTTTTAATAATTGTATACCATATTTACATGAAATTTTATGGTACCAAGAAGCGCCAAATCAAAAGAAATGGTGAAATGTACGGCATGTGTTGCGTCCTTCACCAAAACGACATTGTTCAAGATCTTTAAATGTGCGTTTAGTTGGTGGATTCAGTTCATGGTTCAGATTATTATTCATGATTTGTTATAATATTTTTTTTTATAAAAAATATACGTAAATTAAAAATAATTTTAAATTATAATTATAAATTCATAAACTAAAGTTAGATAAATAATCATAATGGAGTGAGTCCGTGGGCTTGCCCTTTATTAATGGCAATCATGAAGCAGGAGTTAAGAAGCTCAACAACCTTCGATCAATAATAAAGGAAAGTATTACTACTTTATTACATTATCTTATCACTGCAAGGATGGCTACTTTATTGCATTACCAAGTCAGCATTTATACACGGCAAGTAGGACTATACACATTAATAATGGGTGAATAAAAAGGAATATGTAAATTTATAATATACAATCAGGGAGTTGGCTACATTAGGTAGCCGGCATCGTGGACGTTTAATTTATAAATTTAAAATAATGATTTATAATTATAATTTTTAAACTTTAATTTTTTTAATATATTATAAAAAAATTAAAAATCATAATTTAAAATGAAAGACAAACCCTTCAAGCGATTCAATCTTCGCTTATTCGGAACATAATCATGTGAATTATTGGTATGACATATGAGTGCTGGCTGCTGATTTCTTGTTATACTACATACGCACGGAAATCAATAAATGCCTGCTAAAGAAAAGGAAAGTAGATTAAAAAAATGAAAAAAATATATAATAATAGAACTAGAGACTGACTACGCATGGACACCTGTGCCAATGCAACTAAAAGCCAAAGCATATAATCGCAAAGGGGAAGAGATTAAGGGCAGGGAGAGGAAAAAGGGGGGAAAAAAAAAGTTAATTTATGCTTGATATGAATTCTCCCGTTGTTCATCGCACCTCCGAGTGTTTCATCAAACCTCACTATCCTCCACCGGAATCCAAGAAGCCCTTCTACTTGGCACCATGGGATCTCGCTATGCTCTCCGGCCACTACATCCAAAAGGGCCTTCTCTTTGCCAAGCCTCCTCAAGCAACAAAGGAAGATGGGAATGGTTTCATGGAAGCTCTACTCGGCAGGCTCAAGAACTCACTCTCCAAAGTGCTGGTTCACTTCTACCCGCTCGCAGGCCGTCTCAAGACGATCAAAGGCGAAAACCCACCTTCCATTTTGTTTTATGTGGATTGCAATGATAGCCCTGGAGGCAAATTCATCTATGCAACTCTAGATATGAATGTGTCTGATATCCTATCACAGACTTATGTGTCTCCTGTCGTTCAATCATTCTTTGACCATCACAAAGCCGTCAACCATGATGGTCACACCATGAGTTTGCTTTCTGTTCAGGTGACTGAATTAGTTGATGGCGTTTTCATTGGATGTTCCATGAACCACTGCTTAGGTGATGGAACTTCTTATTGGAATTTTTTCAACTCTTGGTCTGAGACCTTTCAAGCAAAGGGAGGTGATATTGTTAGTACCATCTCAATCTCGCGCCCACCGATCTTCAAGCGTTGGTTTCCTGAGGGCCATGGTCCAATCATTAATCTCCCTTTTACCGATCCTGATGAGTTCATCTCCCGGTTTGAAGCTCCGAAACTCAAGGAGAGAATCTTTCATTTCTCGGCAGAATCAATGACAAAGCTGAAAGAAAAGGCAAATGCTGAGTGCAATGTTGTCAACCAGGTCTCTTCCCTCCAATCTTTGTCTGCACTTGTGTGGAGGTGCATCACAAGGGCGCGTAATCTACCACCTGATCAGTCAACCAGTTGCAGGTTGGCTGCCAATAACAGATCAAGATTAGATCCACCAATATCTGAGAATTACTTTGGGAATTTTATTAATGGGCTGAAAGCATTTGCCACGGCCAGTGAGTTGCTAGATCGTGATCTTGGATGGGCTGCGCGGAAGGTGCATCAGGCTGTTATCAACTACAATGACAAGGCGGTTCGCGAGTTTCTGGACTTCTTACTGCAGTCCCCATTTGTGTTGCAAATTGGTCAGATTTTTGATCCTTACAGCGTTGTCATTGGGAGTTCACCTAGATTCAACAAGTATGGAAGTGAATTTGGGATGGGAAAAGCGTTGGCGCTTCGCAGCGGTTATGCACACAAGTTTGATGCTAAAGTATCGTGCTATCCAGGGCGTGAAGGAGGAGGAAGCGTTGATTTGGAGATATGCCTTCTGCCGGATACAATGTGTGCCCTTGAGTCTGACAAGGAGTTCATGGAAGCCGCCGGTTTAACGATCAGTTGAACTGTATTGAGGAAGAGCTAAACAATGTCTCTAATGAAATAAATACCCCGAGTTCGCCATGTAAGGTGAAGGTAATAAGCAATAAAATATGTCCTCTTCTTGCAGAGAAACACAATCCAGATATATTTTGAATGTCTAAGAGGAAAACAATAATCGTTGATCTTTGAAATAATGTCCCAAATTGAATTATAAGCAGAAAATCAATGAACTTTGGCTGAATAAAAAATGACATTGAATTCTGCCCAATTACTCAGTATGCAGCTTTGTTTGCAATGATTTTCCCGTTGCAGAAATACAATATAAATGGATGCTCTGTGTGCAAGGTGAAATGAGAAATATAGCTTGATAACATATGAAATCGTATGGTGTCATTGCGGAGAGGGACAATCCAGATGTAGTTTGTATAAGGGAAACTATAATCGATGAATACTTGGGAAAATCGGATTATAAATTATCTATACAAAATTGTAATTATAACTTTCTCAACATATAACTTAACACTTGCACTTTTTTTTTTAGACTATTTTTTCATTTTATTATCAAGGCTGTCATTCCATATTTCGGTTCAACAGTTTGGAATCTATCCTATAAATTCCGAATGTTGGTCACCCTCTGCAAGAGTCTATATATATGTGTGAATTCTCTCTTTCAAATAAACTCTCTCATCTTTCTCAATTCTCATTCAGTATCAAAGTAGCGAGTATGAATTAAGTAGTACTGGAAAAGAAGATGAATCGTTTTTTTTTTTTTTTTTTTTTTTTTTTTTTTTTTGAAAAAAAAAAAAAACATGAGAACGAAAAAGAAGAATTAATCCATTAAAATTTTTTTCGATAGGGTTCAAACCCCTTTTTTTTTTTTTTTTTTTTTTTCACTTTTTACACCCCCATCTAATTACACACTCCACATAATATTTAAATAATTAAATTTTCTTTCTACACACCCCTCTTATTTTAAAATTACCCCAAACTATTTTTTATAAAATCATTAAGAATAGTTTTACTTACACCCTCTCTTTTCTATCTACACCCACGCATCTCTTTATTCTCCATAGTCCCTTTTAACTACACACATAACACACCCACAGAAATTAATTTATTACTTTAATATTATTTTTTATTTATATCTTTTTATTTTTTGTTGAAACTTTAGGCGTAGTGGTTTATTTTAAGTTCAATAGGGAAACAAAAAAAATAATAAATAAGAAAGGTAAATAAAAAATAATTAAAAACTTAAACTGAGCTGCATTATATTTATTGAATATTGATTGGCGTTGATAACAAACAAAAATGCAGTAAGATATTATCTCATGAGCACAATCGTCATTAAAAAAAGAAAGAAAAAAAACTCCGTAATATGACATTATAAAAAAAAAAAGATGAAACGATTTGCTTAAAAGATAGATTAGCAAATAAATATGAACACAAACTGAAAGTCAAAATGTAAAAAAAAAAAAAAACTTCTTTTAGATAAAATTAAACATACATTCATGTAATTTTTTTGAAATAGAAATAGTTTATAATTTAGGAATATGATACGTAGGGTGTGTGAAGAGAAAAAAAACTATTAATTTTTCTTTTGTAATAAATTTAATTATATAATTAAGTTTATTGTCCCTTTTTGTCATTTTATTTATGAGTCTTTTTACAATAAGAAATTTTAAATTGAGGGGGTGTGAAGGGTAAAAAGTCATCCTTTTCGATATTAAAAATTGGATCATTTGCAAATGATTCAATAGGCAATTTGGTTCTTAGGTTTGAAATTTAAATTAAAAAAAAAAATTGAACAGAATTTTTTTTTTTTTTTTTTTTTTTTTTGAAAGAAAACATTATTGTAAAGAGGTTACAAACGCACAAGTCTGTTTCTGCTTATTTTCCTTTAGTTCCGAATGCTCTTTCTTGACATTCTCCACTTCCGCCTTAAGAATCTCGATCACATTTTTCAGAATGCTTATTGATGGCTTCTCGCCTTCATTGATGTCTTCAATATAAATAGTTAGATAGTCCTCCATGGCTAGCTTTCGATCCGATTTATGACAAACTGTTTGATTTCAATTACATATCATTTAACTTTTATACAAAAACTTCATAAATTTGATATCTAATTTAACATAAATCCATTTATGCATAATCTTGCTGAACGAAAGATCACACTACAAAAATAGGATGCATAATTCAACACTAAGAATAATATGGAGCTTTATTATTATTTATTAATTTCTCTAATAATTAAAACATTCGACTTAACTAAGTTTTTATTCACTAAACGAGTGCCACCTCAACATAACTGGATGGAATGTTACAGAAGCGAATTTTTCTAATGTTTAAAGTTTGACGGGTGCGTGTTCAGAGATAAAGCAACCAAGTTATTAACGTACGTTCGGGGATAAGTTTGAAATTTAATCTAAAAAATAATAATAATAATAATAAAAAGGAATTGTAAGTTTAAAATAATAGGCCCCATATTATATGGATTTTGCTTGTTGACCATCCAAAAAAAAAAATATGGACTTTGCGTGGCACAACCAAAAGCACACACATTGACGTGAAATTATGACGGTGGGGGACAAATGTGAAAAATGCCAACCACGTAAAACCAGACTACTGGCGAAGGGATAAGGCCGGAAGATTGACAATGAATTCTCCCACCGTTGAGTACATCTCTGAGTGTTTCATCAAACCTCAGTAGTATCCAGAAGAATCAAAGCAGCCCTTCCACTTAACACCATGGGATCTGACTATGCTCTCCGCCCACTACATCCAAAAGGGCCTTCTCTTTGCCAAGCCTCGCCAAGCAACAAAGGAAGATGGGAATGGTTTCATGGAAGCTCTACTCGACAGACTCAAGAACTCTCTCTCCAAAGCGTTGGTTCACTTTTATCCACTTTCAGGCCGTCTTAAAACGATCAAAGCTCAAAACCCACCTTCTACCTTGGTTTATGTGGATTGCAATGACAGCCCCGGAGCCAAATTCATCTATGCAACTCTAAACATGACTATGTCTGATATCTTGTCAGAGACTTATGTGCCTCTTGTTGTTCAATCATTTTTCGACCATCACAAAGCCGTCAACCATGACGGTCACACCATGAGTTTGCTTTCAGTTCAGGTGACTGAATTAGTCGATGGTGTCTTCATAGGCTGTTCCATGAACCATTGCTTAGGTGATGGAGCTTCTTATTGGAATTTCTTCAACTCTTGGTCTGAAATCTTTCAACCAAAGGGAGATCATGATCATGTTAGTACTAAAATCTCAATCTCACGCCCGCCAATCTTAAAGCGAAGGTTTCCCGATGGTCACGATCCACTTTTCAACCTGCCTTACGCCGACCCCGACGAGTTCATCTCCAGATTCGAAGCTCCCGAACTCAAGGAGAGAATCTTCCATTTCTCGGCGGAATCAATAGCGAAGCTGAAAGCGAAGGCCAACGCTGAGTGCAATGTTGCAAATCAGATATCTTCTCTCCAATCCTTGGCTGCGCTTGTGTGGAGGTGCATAACAAGGGCGCGTAATATACCGTCTGATCAGATAACCAGTTGCAAGTTGGCTGCCAATTGCAGATCAAGATTGGATCCACCCGCGCCGGATAATTACTTTGGGAACTTGATTCATGAACTAAGAGCATTCACCACGGCCGCTGAGTTGCTAGAGCATGATCTCGGGTGGGCGGCGTCGAAGGTGCATAAGGCCGTGGCTAACTTCAATAACAAGGAGGTGCATGAATGGCTTGAGGAGTGGCTTCAGTCTCCCTATGTGTACCAAATTGGTCGTTTTTTCGATCCTAACTGCGTGATGATGGGAAGTTCTCCCAAATTCAACAAATATGGTAGTGAATTCGGGATGGGAAAAGCGGTGGCGCTTCGCAGTGGATATGCGAACAAGTTCGACGGCAAAGTCTCTAGCTACCCGGGACGTGAAGGAGGGGGAAGCATTGATTTGGAGATGTGCCTTCTGCCTCACAGAATGCGTGCACTTGAGTCTGACAAGGAGTTTATTGAGGCCATGTAAGGGAAATTTATAAAAGAAACAAGTTAGTCTGCTTTGTGTCTAATGGTTTTCATTGTTCCTAAAAACAGACGATCAATAAACGATGATATTCTGTGCGCCTAAACTATTGTTGTTGGATATAAAAAGTTACAGGGGCCTAAATTTCATCAACGAAGATAAATCATTTATGAAATTCAGGGAAGAATAAAGAGTCTGTCATTGTGTAATGATTTTCATGTTCCGAAAACAGAATAAACATATACGACGCGTGTAAGAAAATTAAATAGTATGGCTTAATTAACTAGTTGAAGAGCAGATGGCTAAATGTGATGAGTCCACCACAAGCAAAGTAAGCACTAAAATACAAGACAATCAACGAGTATAGTGCCTCAAGGGATTAAAGAAACTAGTTCTTTTTTTCTTTTTCTTTTTTTATGATAAATCCCTAAATAAAACAAAATTCAGGAAACAGAAAAAGAAATATCAATAAATGGTTGTAAGAAACAACTTAGTCTGGTTTGTATCCCTAAAGAAAACTGATGAATCTTCCAAAATCCACAAATTAATCCCTATCATAAATAATCATCAAAACATGACAAATCATATTGTGGAGGCATAAAAGCCGAATCATAAAGACGCAGCACAACCTAGCCTAAACAGAAGCCTAATATATACTTTTCAATATATCTCATGTGGATATCAATATAATAGCAAATAACATATAATTTTCTTTTCTTTTCTGTCAACCATTTAATTAAGAGAGAAAATTTGAAATACCATTAATAAAATAACACTATTTTATTTTCGTCACGGTTAGAAATTTATTTTATTCAATTAATAATCCGTAAGTTATTTTTTTATAACTTACATGTTATTTTTTATAATCTGTAACCTGTTGGTTAACTTGTAAGTTATCCTATATATTCTGCAGATTATTTTCTATAGTGGTATTAAAATTTTATATAGTGGCATAAATAATAAAGTTAGAAAAAATAATAGTTAAGCTTTAAATTTTTTCTATAATTAAACGAAAAATCTCACAAAAGTTAATTAGTAATAGAATCTATATTTCGAATATAGTCCTGGGGAGACTGTAGCTGCCTCTTTACAATGATAATATAT